AGATATTGTGAAGCCAATGGGAAAGTTTTACCTTTTAAGAATTAGAAACAAATGTCTGCTGAAAAGATGGTTTGTTATTGAGCTAGAAGTTTTTCTTTTTAAAGTGGCCTTAAAGAAAAAAAATTCTTGTTCAACTTTCTGAATATCTGCAGAGACAAAACTGCAAGAGTTCTAAGTATTAGCTGATACTAAAAGTGAAAAAAAATAGTAAGCTTAGTAAGTATTTTCCGTGAAGAACCTAGTCTTAAATTGCAAATGGTATGTAAAACCCAAGTGGTTACATTACAAAGACAATAAATTATGAGCAGCAAATAATTAGGTCCCAAGCAAAGAAAATATGCATATTCCTTTCAATGAGCTTTCCTAGAACACTAAGATTTTTGGCATAAATTTAGAGCTGTCATTGCATTTTTTCGACCATGCTCAGCTCTGCAACCTTACAAACTGGCCTTTCCAGGCTTAATGCAGTAATAGCTTTATACTTTTTGTATTAATCAAGAGTTGCACACAGACATATTCAGAAACCTCCCAATTTCTGTCATCATCTCTAGCAACTAAGTACTGTGCAAGCCATGCGACCAGATTCAAACCCACAAACATTCATGCAGCGTTTGTGCAGCCCTATCAGGGACTTTTCCACTCCCTTAAGACACTAAGAAAGTAGCTTTAACAACATCCTCAAGTTACGTTCCTACTAACACTGACAAATAAACTTCTGCTTTATTTTAAGTTCCTTTTCAAAACTTGCCTGTTTACTTGTATATTTAATCCTTCCAATATGTATAATGGCTAGATTATAGCCATTTACATAACTTTTCAGAATTAGCAGGGCTGTCTTGTCACTAGTTGTTATTCAGGATGTTTTGTCATACATATTTGCTACAAAGTGGATCTCAAAAATAGAAGCTTCCATTTAATCTCCTCTGCATTACACAGAAATATTTGGCACTTGTTTGTAATACATTGGCTTCTAAAGTAACATAATAATGGAGCTAGCTGTCTGACTCAGGGCTATTTCTGAAGCTGGTAACTTAATTTTTTCCAATAAACAGAAACCTTTGCCCATTATATACACCATTATGTAGCTTTTCTGCTTGCAATGAATTATCCCAGATTGCCACATAACTAGATAATCCAGTAAAAGGAATTTTGTTTGTGCCAAATATCCTTCCTTCAAAGCATCCCTACATGCTATGATAGATGCAAAGTGACTATATAATGATTTTTTAATAAACGTACCTTATACTCTTGGCTGATTTATATGACAGTAATATATCTCACGTATCAAAATCAGAGGTCTACATGCTCAGGGGGATATGTTAGCAAAAATCTACAGCACAGTGGTAGTTAGGCAGCTAAGTCCTCAAGGCCACATTGATGGAAGTTCCTTGTGCAAATAGACTTGTTCTAGATGAACAATACTTTTATTGGTATATTTGCCTGATCTGTGAGAGGAATATTTCCTGCATCCCAGGGATCTCAGTAGATGTTTTCAATATAACCATGTCCATAATAAAACTGCCTACTAGCAGAGCATACACTCCTAGCTTGAGGCTTAAGCCTTGACTTTAGGATAACGCTAGACTGATGCCCATTCTGCCCTATCAAGGCTCAGGTTAAAATTGAATTCATATAACCTGACTTATAACCTGATGTATTTTTTTCCTGTAAAAGCTGAATTGGAAATCATATACAATTTAGTGGCTATGTTGCTATACAACAGACTTGATCCTCCACAGCTTTTACAGTTAAACTCTGAGATTAATGGGGGTTTCGATGCTGTGAATCAGGCTTTGCCTTCTTACCCCAAATATTAAAGAACAAATAAACCCTCTAAATTTTGTAGTTTATTTAATAACATAGACTGTTTAAACATAACTTCTGATTGGGTTCCCGTTTCTCTCAGATGAAATGCTAGTGCTGCCTAGTGGAGGTGAGCGAAATCTTGTACAGTAATATGTATTTTGTCTCTGAGATAGGTACAACTCAAGGATGCGCAGTTTCTCATAAGAAATATTTAACTGTTGTTAATAAGCTCTACATATACCTTCTGATTTATATACAGCTTATACTAAGAATATACATTCATTCCAGTGATCTCAATTTGTTAGTTTTACTTCAAATCTAGCTTAATAAAATCCAATATAATCGGTGAATTGGACTGGCTGATCCCACATCTCAGATTCATTTGTTGTAATTAAACTATCAACTTTTCAAAATATCTATCTGAAAAATTCCTGTCAAAGTTTAATATTATTTTTGTTCCTTAGAGGACTGGAAGAATTTGATTCAGTGAGACAAGTCATTTTCTGGTCATTTAAATCCAAATCAAGTGTCATCACTAAATGCTACCTTGGAAAACAAAAAGACCAATTTAAGAAACGCATCAGATTAAATAATTAAGACACAGTATTTAAGCCAATAATTCTCTCAGGCTGTCAGAGAACCCACTAGATAAAAAACAACAATTCCCTTGATTACTATCTCAGGGTTTGGGCACAATCCAGTCTTTGAGAAGAAAGGAGTTATGAAGTGATCCATAGCCTGTGTAATGGAAGAGCACAGGTAAGGGCAATAATAGGAATGGCAGCAGAGAAGAGATTAAAAGATTACTTAAGACAGAATTTTCCTGTAGCAAGTCATTCCCTGTATAAAATCTCTCTGTGCTAACACTGCAGGTCTGTCCAGCTCCTGAAGGCAGAGTTAACGCTGCATAAGTGTATGACACCTTATTTGTCCATCAGTTTTGAAGCTTTTAGTACTACTATTTTGCTGCTTTTGTGAATGAGAAGGGGATTTTGACGACCACATTTAAAATTATTAGTGTTCCCCAGCAATGTAAAGGATATTTTAAAACAAACACATTTCTATTTCAGCTTTCATTAAAGTAAATAATGGCTGCTATGGACCTCATTCATAACAGCAGATTCTGGGCAATCTCATAAATAAGCCATACTGAATTGTTGCCTTCTGAAATAGCAGAAAGTGCTACCTTCTCACTACCAAGGCTATTTTTAGAAGGGCTCATCATCTGCAATTAGAGCTGACAACACTGAGAGATGCATAAGTAACTTCAGCTCTTTCTAAGTCACCAGATCCCAACTGCTGAGTATGCAGAGATGCACCAAATTTGGAACAAGTTGTAGGTATTTTTCTTACTATGCATGACATCTGAGCTGGCCAGTTGAGGAATGGGAGAGAAGATTAGATTGTCCCCGTGGTTCCCCAGGAGACTTCACCTACACTAATTTTTCCTTTATTTCTCTCCTTTGTTCTGTTAAGTGGAAGACATGAAGTAATATATTTATGCCACCTTATGTGGGACGATTCATTCCTCATATTGACCTTAGATAGAAATTAGCTGCAAAATAGAGAAATGCCATCTGTCCTGCCTTTACCTGCTCTAGAAGTTTCTACAAAGTTGAACAGGGAGACAGAAACATTTCTGTAAGGACAGAAACACACAGAGAATAACTGAGCATCTGGAGACGGGTAGTGTATGTTATGAAGGGAGTTGAGGAATAATAGATGGAAGCTTCTTGTTAAAGCAAGAAGAATGCATGCCCCTAGGCTGCAATAAAGAACAAGACATCCCAATTCCCACTGTCCTTAAGTAACCACTGCAGCCATCCCAGCAGTGAACAGCTTTGCTGCATTAATGTTGTGCTGTTATTCAGTTCTTTGCTCTCCCAAGCACACAGACTAAACACGCTAGCTGCAGGTTTAGTCACCTGTGTTTTCAAATATATGCTATTTAAGAAAAATGAATCTCTCCCAAACTAGCTTATTTGCATTAGGCCTCAAGTTCTTCCACATTAAACCAACTGAAAGAAGTCTGTTAATAAGAATCAAAAGGGTCTCCATAGTATGAAAGAAAAAAACAAAAACTGTCTTAGCCTATAGGTAATTAATTATTCAAAAGAAAAGGAGTTGACCTATATACAGAAAGATCAGACAAGAAACCAGAAGAACTTTTGTACGACTCCTTTAAAGGACCATTATTTTAGCAAACAATTGTGTAGAAATCTGGAAGCAGTTTTATTATAGAAAAAGCCTTATGAAAAAGATCCTTTCAAGCTGGGAAGGGAGCGCTGGATTAGGAGCCATGTTATGTAAGCCTGCTGATCCAGACGCCAGAGCCCTGCCCCAGCATTGCATAACAAGCTACAAGGGAGAGCTGGGCCCTGTTCCTTTAAGCAGCAGAAGTGTGGATGGAAATTTAGCAAGCTACCAGCCTTCCCCATGCAAGAAACAAGGTCTTTACTGTCACTTGCTATTTACTGGAGCCAGTTGTGAGCAATTTGATTTTTCCCCCCTTCTCATTTCACAGAGTAAACAAAGAAACAACTTACAGAAAATGACACTAGGCAGGCTGTTGACTCCTGTTGACACCATTCTGGTTCAGGAAACATACTGTCCCTTTGAAATACTGGGCAAGCCTGTAGGCTGCTGGTACAATGCTGGAAGTAAGTGGGAGAGGCAAAAGCAAAACAAGATGCTCCACAATGGCATGCACTAAAGAAACTCAAAAGTTTTAAACTATTTGAATTCCTCAAGTGCAGAACAAGATCTCTTCCTAATAACTGAAACCAATGCAAAAGAAAACAAAACCAGCCAATTTCTATATATGTTAAAACTCATACTTCACCATGGATCAAGAAACACAATAACCATTCAATTAGCATAGTGTTTTTGCTATTTTTTTTCCTTTATAGATGCTAAATATTGCAGTGTACACTACTGTTACCAGTCTTCCCAAACTCTTTTTGACAACTTGGTACTTGTAAGAGGTTACAAAGATTTACAGCTGGGAATAACAGCACAACTTTCATTTCCCAAGTATACCGCTGCTGAGCACCAGGTGATTATGAATGTTATTCTTCCTCTTCCCTAGTAGTCTTAGCCTGATTAAACAGGCCTTCTGCATACTTACTGCTCTTATCTTTACTAGATTCTGTGATTAACTTAAACACTGCATTATTTCTCTTTCATTAGGAAAAAAGGACATAAACAAAAGGGAAAGATCCGAGTCCACCTGAGTATAGATAGTTCACTGGACAAATGTGGTCAAGGGATGATATTTTCCATAGCCCAAAACCCCTGAAGGGCTGGTAAGTCTTGTTATTTATGAGCACACTCTCTGCTCCTTCCTCCTCTCTTTTCCATTCCACCTCCCTCAAATGATGGAGATTTTACTGAGGAAATAGTCTAGAGTTAAGCATGGCAAATACTGGGTCATACTGGAACTGGCTATTTAGATATAGTTGATTATTTGTTAGAGCAAAGAATTTTTGTATAGCAACATGCAAATTTACATAATACTGTACCTATAGCAGCAGTTTGCAAACATTGTCTCCTGGAAAGTTTCTGTATTTTTCATAAAATAGATGCCTGTAACTTTTTTTCTGCGGAGCACTTGAGCAGAATTTAAAGACCTGAAAAACTCTGAAGTGCTTTTATTGAGAATAACTAATATCTGATTGTGTTATATTTTCTTCGTAAATTTTACAAAAAACAAGTTACAGCAAAGTAATAACATCACCACCAAGGACTGAAGAAAGCAGCTGAACATATAGTCTCCCGACAGGAAAATGTACTCACCATTCTTACGCTGGTGTCACATCTGCCTCTATATTATAATACTAATAAGTCTTGCCCAGGATTTTTAAAGATTAGAAAAGCAAACAGCTGTAGAAAGGAAATGAACTTTGCAGTTTGTATTAGAGCCCAACAATTAAAGATATGTGCACTAACAGGAAACACTTGAGGAAAGGCCTTTTAAGCTCCCAGTTTCTAACATTCCTTAAATATGATTTACAAAATTGAAAGTGATGAAATGGCCAGTCCACACCTCCCCTTGCTTCCCTCCAGTTCACAACACACACAGTCATGCAACTTGTCCCAGCTACCTTTAAAATACATTCAGTTATCCTGGCTGTGCTCAACATACCCTTTATTTTATTATAAACTGCACAGACAACTGCAGAGACTGAAATTACGTGGTATATTAACCAGCACATTGGTCCATAGGATATCCAAGGCGTGAGCTAGACAAGTGGTATCAAATATCATTAATGGACACTACATGCAAGCCAACTCTGCACAGATAACCTTTCCCCTTCAAAATCTATTTCACTAAGAGCCTGATGTTACAGTGGACATACAGGAGTCACTTTGCTGCTTTAACATGCTGCTTTACCCACATTTCTCGACGATTACTTAAACAGCTTTGCTTTGAGATGTCAAAATCCCCATGAAAGAATGTCTAGGCCATACTTTTTTTCTGTAGCATCCTAAAAGTCACTGTAAACACTACAAAAATGAGTAATGCACATTTGACTGAACAGAGATCAGCAAATTAAAATCTTCTTTGCCCTCCCCTACTCAGGGAGGTGTGCCCACTCATGTTTTCCTTTCTTCCCTGTATTTTTTAAGAATGTCAAAGTATACTCCAAAAGCCTGCTCGGCAAGTCTCCTATACTGAAATTCTAATAAATGGAACAGCACATCTCTATTTCACGTTTAAACACAATTCACTAAGAAAAATATTGCAAAGTTTAGCACAGCTAAATTATTATTTTGTTAAACCTAATATTTTGCATTGGGAAATGCATAGCATATTGTTTTCTGTAACACATGTGAAAAACAATATTAAGATTGACATTACTAGCAGAATGTGGATACTTTGCAAAGTAAATTTGTCTCATCTTCACTTGTGCAACCAACAGTAGCACTTGCAGGCACAAGGTTTTATTAAAACAACTCTTTGTATTATTAGACTGCCAGAGCAGTCATTTAGCAGATGGAGTTAATTAGCAAACAGAGCATACCAGGCAGGCAAAGAATGTCTGGAAAAATGAGAGTTAAAAGTGAAACGGTAATACATGGAATATTGATCAGTCCCATATTATTTGCTAGTTGTGTTACCATTAACGTCTCATCCTCCCCAGATTTACCTTAAATGAGCATATATTCTGAGATATTTATACTCACTCTATTGAAAAAAAATAATTAAAAAGGCTTTCTGGTGGAAACTTTTCATGGGCTATTTCCTGTTGATTTGTTCTACTTAGGTATCTAGCTAGTTTTCATTGGCAGGATTTACTGCTTCTGAAGGAATGGAATGTTGAAGCTTTTACATTGATGCTCAGATTTTCTGAGTACCTAATCTCCCTGTTTTACATGCCATGACTGTCCTGAAAATGTCAAATCAAGTTGAAATGTTTTAGTTGAATTTCCTTCCATAAAACATGTAACAGGTAATTATTGTATTTGCATTCTAATCATCATGTGTACATAATTAACATGCATCTAAAGCCAATATGCAAAGATGATGCTACCAGTAAATGAGTTTTAAATACCTATGGAGGGAAACATTCCATGCTTTTCAATGCAAGTTTTACTCCGAAAGAAGCTTCCCTTAAGTGTTTCAGGAACCATTTGTGCAACCACATTCTTGATCACAAAGACCTGATGCTATCCTGAAATTTCAGAGAGCTTCTTCGGCTACTCCCTTGCATTGCACAGGCACAGAAATTAGTGCTGGACTCTATCCCACAGCTCTGTCAGGACTCAACTGCACACAGCCTTGTGACTTGTCAAAAAGAAAGTGAATTCCCCCCGAGATAGTAAAACATACATTCCTAAAGCAAAAATCACATCATTAACTAATCTATGTAATTAATATTTGGGGCTTTTCTTTCCATCTAACGTCCTTCTTAACAAATCTTCAAACATTTTGCCTGAATTTTTCAGAAATAAACTGATTTAGACAGCCAAAATGTAAAATATTAGCACAAAAGAATAAAATGTTTACTAAAGTTAAAACTTATAACAAAATTTTAGAGGAAATGTCAGACAATCCTAATAATTGGCATCACATAAACAGTTTGGTTCACTTGCCTTTGTGTACCAGGCTCTGTACAGCCAGTTTATCCCAATAGGTTATAAAGTCATAAAACTACTAGCTATAAATAATGACCTATTAAAAATAGCTTCCATTTTCATTCAAGTAGCTATTATTGAAGAAGTATGCCAGGATTATTATTTTAGTAATATAGCTGCACCTTATCTCAGTGCAATATTTCTTTATACTGGGGACATATGTGTGCCTTGCAAATATGGGATTGCCTCACTTCTGAAATCCTGGTACAGTTCTATGGCATATTGTGATTAAACCAAGTCTTTGGATTAGAAACTACAGACATCACTTGCTGCCATGATCTTGCACCTAAAAGTGGTCAAGGAGAGGAAAGAGAGAAGAGTTGGGAGAAACTTAAACACAACACCACCCCTCTTCCTCCCAAACCTACTTCAAAGACATTGAAATTTTAGTCCCATTTTTAAGAAATATTATGTCATTTTTTCAAGAACGGATCATAGGATAATTGCTTCAAAACATCAGAATTCAGTGCTGGAGCCAAACATGTATTCTTCTGTTTCCCCTACCATTCTTCAGCTCTATTTCAATATCATTTTGCCACAGAGGAGTCATGACCTTCTTAGTTTCCTTGATGACCTGTCATTCATTCCCTTTCTCTTTGTCTCGCTAAGGAGGGTAAATGAAACAAAGTGCTGGAAATCATTCTTCCTCAAAAGAAATAAATAAAAAACGTATCTCTATTATAATTTCCAAGATAAATTTTAGATGAAATGAAAAATGCGACTACACAATAAAAGAGAGCTTCCCCACTTGTATTATCTGATTTAAAATATTTTCCAATCTTTTCCTCTCTCCTACTGCTTAAAAAAAATTATATATTTCCACAATTGTGCCTCACCTCAAGAATGTAATGCTTACTTAATGTTACTTAATGACTAAAATTGGTGCTAAGGAAAACCACCATGCAGAATCATCACAAACATGAAGCAGTTCAGTACTGTGAATACTGAAGAGGAGGGGAAGAAAAAAAAAATAGATCAGTCACCAGGACTAGCTTTTACAACTTTTAAACAAGTGCAGGATTTGGCTGCTGATCTATGTCATTAAAGTCAATTTTTAGAGTATTTATTAGACATTGTTAATGAAACTCAGAAAGCTATAAGCTTCCAAAATAGTAATTTCACTGCCATATGGATCTTTTCCAGAAATTGCTTTCTGGCCTAGGATTTTTTTCCCCCCTCTTCTCTCCTCTCCTTAATTTCTGACCTATTTTTAAGAGAAAACAGTTCCAGTGAATAGATGACAATGTGAGCTGAGCATCCTGACTCACATAATGAAACCTTACACTGATCCCCCAGGCAGGCATGCAGCCTTCCCAAGTGAACTCCCAAATTTACCCTATAGATAAACCATCTGGGAAGGTTCTGCAGTGCTCTGATAAATGCCTTTTCCCAGACCATATGCTCTTTCAAAGACCATATGCCCTTTGTGAAAGTCACAGATTAACCCAGTTTGCGTGAACTCAAGACCCACTCAAGGCACCTTTGCAGACCATGGGAATACCACACAATGGCTCTCAAGAATAGATAAAAATCCATGTGCCTCACAAAAAATCAAACACACACACACAAAAAACATGTTTATGAAATACGAGACTTTCCATCGGAGAGGAAGAGACAGCTGAGAATTTTTACTTTTTTGTTTTTGCTAGGTGCACTAAAATGGGTAGACATACTAAAAAGATGTGGTTTATTAAATGAGTTAAAACATTAACTTCTTCCCACCTCCCAATATGCACTTCCAATTTAAACCCAGATGTAAATGAAAAGAATCTGCATATTTTTCCCAGTTCTTAAAATATAGAAAGATACCCCCACAGACTTCTTTCTTTCATTTTGAGCCACAGTATTTATTTTCCCTCATGACTGAATTGCTATGTTCAATATTCCATTTGCAAGTGCAGTGGCTCTTGCAGCTTAATTAACTGGCTCACTAACTTTACACATCCAAGTATTTCTGCATGGTTGCTTCATATTAAACAACTCACAAGACATAAAATATCACAAAACACTTCTGTAATCAGATATTAATGCCACTATACTATAAATTATTTTTGTGCAATAGGAACTGTGCTAATAAATACAGAGGCAGCTGGTAAAAGCCTTTACAGTTAAATGGACCGTCATCTCCTTATCACTAGTTTAACACAAGGGAATACCTAAGGAGACAAACACTTGTAAGCAGCTTACCTTATAACTGCCAGTACAGGCAGATTAATGGCAGTGTCAGTCACACAGGAGCACCATGACTGCTAGTACGCTTTTATGGCAGCCTTCTGTTGCTTGCTGTATTTTAAAAATCACAACAACTTATTTTTCTAAAAAAAGGTAGCTGAAGAGTAAAGGTTTAAAGTAAACTTTATGCTTACTGCTGTGTTAAACAGCAGTCACAAGGGTTCCTGGTAGAGGATGAACTAGGGGCCTGGAAAATACCAACAAAACAAAAGCCCATGAGACAGACTGGGAATTTGTCAAGAAACACTTTCAGGGCAAGAGGCACTGATTTCATGTCAGCCTAGAATTAAAGCATCACACATTCAATGGGGTAAAGGCATTTGGAACGGCTTAATGGCAAACTTCATACTGGAAATGCACTTTCTGCTTTGGAGAAGTACCATCCCGTGCAAAATTTAGACAAAAACTGACTGCACTGCGGAATATCTTGCAGACAAATGAACATATAAGGAAGACCAAACACAAGATGAACCTTAGAAGCAATCTAGCCCCCTCCTCACCACCACCAACTGCAGTGAGCCAGTGTAGCATTCCTCACATATTTTGAGATTCAGACTGTTGTACCGTGGCAGCTGCACAGGAACTATCTGCTTCAGGTTTATGCTTCCAGCTATGAGTCTCTCTTCTTATATCCCTTTCCTTTTCATGAAAGCAAGTCTTGGAAATACATTCCCATAAGTTCAGCAAGTCCACTGCTTCACTGCTATGAGATCAGTCCTATTTTTGTGCTCTGAGCACAGGGTATCATGTGATGACCTGCAGCAGCATTTAGGGGCAAGGCAGCCCTGATTTACATGGACGTGTTGCACAGCCATGTGGCTGCACTTGTGCATTCCTGGGTGACAGCATGTACTGCTCCAGATGGTGCTGTCAGAATGGGAGCTAAAGCACAGTTACCTCCCCCTGCAAATCCACATCTGATCTTTTCCAAAGTAGTCACCTCTCGGTGATATTATATGAATGAGGAGAGAGAAAAAAAAAAAGTGATTTTCAAAGATTCGAGTGCATAGGTGTTAAGATCACACTTTTCCAAGTTCTCTAGGCACTGTAGGCTTTGAGATATTTATGTACCTAGACACTTTGGAGGTGGGGGGGAGAGAAGCTCTCTCTATCTTTATCCTTGGACCTCAAAGCCTTTTAAACCTCTTGAGTACCTTTTGGAACAACAGCTGCTCTGTTAAAAAGAAAAACGAAAAAGCTGAAGCTCCAGGAGCACTATTCATTACAACAGAATCACATAAAAGCAAGAAGATATTTGTGTTTGTGTTGTCCAGAAAAGTATTTAAACAAATGGAAAATTTTAATTAAAACAAGTGAGAGCTAGAAAAGTATCACACATACTGAAAAACAGAAGAGAGGGAATAAGAATATTAATTTCAACTTGTTTCTTTTCTTCAAATAGATATAATATTTCTTCTTACAATTATTAACACCTAAATGACAACAGGAAAAGAAAACACACAGAACATAACCATTACTTAGAAAAAGTAATCTTAAATTTATAGGCAACAGCTAAGTACATATATTGATGCAAATATTCCTTTCTGAATTTTCTCAAAAACATTTGTTTCTATTATTACTGACTCAAACTACTTTTTTTTTTTTCTCAGAAGTGCCTAAGCGGATCTATTTCTACATAACCTTTGACTTTCTTGCACTTTACTTTTTCCCCTCTGTCATTGAAAATAATGATACACACTCCTTAGTAATAACGCTTAAGAGACTGTGGGAGAAGATCTTTTTTTATATTCCAAGAATAACTATCATTCCATTAACATTTTGATCCATACGACTTTTATACAGATTTTTGCCTAAGACTTACTGTTAACAGGTAAGTTATCATTGTAGGTTACAGCTCCAGATTCTCCTAGGGGAGTGACTGCCAGGCTCCTCGAAGGCAGTCTGCTTAAGTCCTTGGGACAAACGCAGACAGACAGAAGTTCATTCAAGTGTTTCTATTTATATCAGGGCTGATCGACACAGAGGTTGTATCAATCTTTATCAATCGAGAAAACTATACTAGCCCAAATTTCCAAAGATATCTAAGCCCCAGAGGCACAGAGAAGCACCACAGCAAGCTTTTCTCGAGTTGTTTCTAAACCATTTTTCTCTGAAATACATTAATTCCTTCATGGGGAAATTAAACTAACTGAATAATTGGTCTATCCAAACACCTAGTTGCTTATTTATAAATAAGACAGAGAACTACAAATATATTTTATTTCATTACAATATTATCTTGCTATTTAACTAGTAGCAACCAAATGATTAAAGCCAACTTGAAAAGAGGCTGGCATAAGCATAGCAGAACATCTCAATAAAATTTTGTCCTTAGAAATCAAGAGCTGCTTATAGATTTTTCCAAGCACATATTTCTTTTCTTTTTTTAAAATCAGCTATCAATAATGTCAGAATCAAGTACAAAACATTGGAAGCTTACTCCAAAATGTTTACTGTTATGAAGATTAACAGAACAACAAACTAAACTACTAGGTCACTAAAAAATCAAAGGAAAAAAAACAAACCTTAGGTGAATAACAGCCATCAAACTCTTCATGTATCTGCATCTCATCCCAGTTCTTCAGATCTTCCATTGAGTGTAACCTTAGAGCCATGGCCCATCTTTTACTGTGAAACTGCAGATCACCTGGTATAGTAGTAGAACTTAATTCAGCTGGATCTGTTAGGTGTTTCCACAGAACCAATTACCACTCATTCCAGTACATACCCTGTTCACCTGTGAGCTAAATTACTTGCTCAAGGCACTACCTTGCTTCAGGAGTCCTTCTGCTTTATCACAGCAATCTTCAATGTTGGGGAGAAAGCTTCAGGGGACAACTAGTTCAGGAGGGAAGACATGCAAGACTGCAACCTGTCACAGCCTGTATCATATCCCCTTCCCCACAACTGTGTTAAGAGGAGACAGTGAAATCTTTCCTGCTTTTCTTTTGGTTGTTGTTGTTGTCTTGAAAGCAGCTTTGTCTTTTTTGCAAGTGCAAGGGACTATGAATCTTGCCCAGGATGAGCTGCATAATGACAAGCCCTGATTTAGGCCTTCAAACACTCTAAAGCCAATATCTACTTAACATAATAACTATACAATATATTTCAGTGACACAGACCATTTAAAAGAATACAGTGCTTTAAGAAAGCTTAAATTGAGTCAATATATTTTCAATTGTCCTTCTATTTTGATCTTCTATTCTGCAATATTGGAGGATATTTTGTCATACAACTCACATTCAGAAATTCTGGATTGCATTTATTTGGTTAACATTATTTATCCTATTCATTTTCTACCATTATCCATGAGGCGAGACAGATGTTATCTTTCATATTTGGACACAAAATTAGTTGAAAAAAAACTGAAAAAAACAACACATATCTCTTAATATTTGCTATCTATGGTATGAATATTTTCTGGTAAGTCTGCATTTTGGGACACAAGCATGTTATTTAGCATGAACGTCCTTCATCACGACAGTTTCTCTAACTACATAATTTCATACCCTGTGATCACAAAGTGGAAGAATACAAACTCTATAAAACTGGAATGGGTTTTCAGAGTATTTTAAGCAACTACTTTGTGTACTGTTTCCATTATCAGAAGATCCCATGTAAGCAAAGTGCAATGCTGCTGCCTGTCGCATCGATGTAACTGTTGTTGTTATATATTGTTAGCTTCGTTCTGTCTGTAATTCCCCACCCTCACCACGCCAGGATATGATGGTTTACATTTTCATTTTCTATTGAATAATATATTTATTCATTGTCATATACCAATGTAGGACACAAGTTTAACTGCCTTAAAATTGTACATTTCCTAACATTTGATCTTACTTAAGTGCACTATCTGATAATTGCCATTTCTACTAATTGATTTGTAGCGTTTTTTCTTCAGAAATGTGCACAACAAAATTGTGCAGAGATTTCCAACGTGTTTAGAGCAGAGGGACAAATCAGTCGTGCCACTGGCACAGCCCTCTGCTAACTCTGTGCCTCTCCTTCTCCCTTTCCCCATAGGCTTATGCACTGAGGTACACAAAAATTCAGACATACTCCTATGCCAACCTTCTACATGCCATCCTTTTTACAATATATCACTCACTGTTAGTGAGTTATGATACAAACTAAAATCAAGTCAGAGCCCATCAGTTTTAGGAGAAATAAAGGGTCATGAAATCTTTACAGGAACATTATAAACTCATTTAAGCTGTTTTATTATTTGTATATAAATACTGTATTAAGAAGAATCATAACCTTCCCTACCAAATTGCTCAAGTAGCAACTACACTCACCTCCTACCAGGGATGTTTGAGTAACGCCATTAAAAGGCTCTGAGACTAAACCAACCAGATGGGATAGACAGGATATTCTGGGCTATTGCATGAATTATTTCAATCCATCATAATTTGGAAGACTCATAGCTGCTGTACTACTGGAAAGCTTAATTTGATTTCAGTTATATAAAGCTGAACTTTGATGGATGCTATAAAACAAAGCCTAACCATCTAGCTTCTATATCTCTATCTTCTCAGCTTTTTTGTTGACAAGGAAGAACTGAGGGCTCTGACCTTTGGCAGTTTAAACCAATATGCCAGCTGTGACAACTGAGAATCCAGCACCCAGTACTCCTCCAGTAGCAAAGAGAGCTGAAGTGAATCTCTAGCAAGTAACATTGGTAACATTTTAAAGCACTGAAATACATACCACACATCAATAGGAACCCTAAATAATTTTTAGTCATCTTTTATGGACTGAATTGTTTTAAACAAAACAAGTATGTGCACACACTGAATTGTAAACTCTGCGCATTTCACATATTGTTCTATATCATTTAATTTTCAGTGCTGCTTGCTTAGTTATTTATTCACAAGTCAGTTTCTGTCTCAACGCTATGGAAGGAAAATGAGTTAAAGCCCTGTGAAATTGAGTTCCTGCTGATGTTAAATGTTTCAGATCAGGTTGCATTCAGCCCTAAGAATTTCTCTTTATGTTAGGTGACAGTAGCCGCTAGGTTTTCCTCTATGTGTGTCAGAGAAGAAAAAGTAGACTAAAAGGTTAAAATTCAACAAGTTTTATTTCCTAACTTTAAAGAATATTTGGTAGAAAACATTTATTTGTTTTCCACATTGTTAATTTGTTCCCAAAGAAAGTCAAATATTACTAACTTGAGGCCCTTTCCTCACTTTAGAATTTCAGGAATGTCATTATCCATATTCTTGGTGTTTTGCCACTATGAGATCAGGACACTGATGTGCTCTTTTTAACTCGCAGCCCTGTACGGCAAAGACCTGTGCAAAAGTATTTATTAATCACAGCATATTTCCTCCTCCTCTAAGAAAAGATCTGCAGACTTTCATGCTTTGCTTTTTAGATATTCCTATTCTTGTTGCTGTTGATCTTTGAAAGAGACAAACTTGAAAGAGACAAAGCCAGCCATTGGTTTTAGTAATAGTCTCTGAATAATATTATGCTCATTTTTTTCACTTAAAAATAATAATACTAACACTCAATATATTCAATATTGTGTGTTCATTTAAAAACTAGATGGATTATAGCTTGATTTGGATTTGAATGACAGTGATTCCTGTACTTACTGACAAATGATAATAAGACTTTAAGTGGTATATTTTAGGTCAGAAACCTAATGTCATTAGAATATAGTTTCTCATTTTTGATTAAAAAAAAAGTTTTCTTAAAACACTACATATAACATTCTTGCAACTGTTAAAAATGTACTCCAGTGGAGTCTGAAAAGCAGAACCAATGTATCCTGAAACAGCTTCCTTTTCAGAAATACTTCCTTTGAATTAACTATTTTAAAAGGCATAATGATAGAATTACACCTAGCTTTGTACAGAATCCTCCACTATATTTTATAGTAAATCACACAGCCCCTAGCAGATTAGCGGATATTTGGATTTGTAATGTAATTATTATTTAAATAACATTTACAAAACCTACATTTCATATACATGAACTGTTCCAGGAAGCTGTAAGCTTCCCAATAAGACAAACCATAAAGGCCACAAATCATGCCCTAAAAATATCACTAGATGTAGCTACAAAAAATGCTGCAGCAGGAGAGGCTCCCATGTCAAATGCAGACTGCCAGCGCCTGAAGCAGGAGGAAACCCGTTCTGTCATGGGGAGGCACTTTCAGGGAACAGGCATTTTTTTCTGCTATTGCAACAAGTAGTTTAGAAAAGTTTTTCCAGAAACAAACTGCCCTAATAAGGCATGGAAACTGAAAAGAAAAATGGTAGTATTAGTGCCGAATAGTGGTAATCATTTATAGCTTTGTTTATTTACAACCTGAATTTCTTACATTATGTAGCTCTTGTTCTAAAACTTAGATAAAAATATCCTTTTGACGTTGATGTGTTGAATTTATCACAAATATCTTCTAAGCATCCTTACTTCAAAAATTAGAGTTAAAAGACTGTCAGGGAGCTGGGCAGCCAGTAAAACCCTAAAAGGAGTAACTTTTCCACCACTCTTCCTCCTAGCAGATGGCCACTGCTATTTTCATTCAAAACACTGCTTCCAATAGACAAAGGAAGTGGCAACCAAGAAGAACAAAAGGGAAGCCAGGAACCACATTATTGAAAGCAGACATGCATGGATTTCATGTGACTATTTCTTCAAGAAATGTAGTTGCACACTGGATTAAGCAATTATATGATTTTGAAGGGGTTCATCTATTCCTCATTCCAAGTCTGAACGTTTATTTTGAAACAAGAAGATCACATTTAACATTTAGCTTCAGTTGCAGCAAGCTGATTTATGAGAGCAGAGGATCTCACTGGATAGCCTGGGGTAAAAAGATTGAATCCCAGCTCCTTTTCTACAGATAGCTACAGAAATTACACATTTTTATTTTGAAAATAGAGCCAAAGTAGGAAAAATAGCTGACTCTATCCTTTGGCAGCTACTTCGGCGCACAAGCACCCCTCCCCGCCCCCCCCCACCCGCTGCTGCAGCATCACGCACTGCCTGCAGCTCTCTTAAACGGCGAGGGTAACGCACCCTGCCAGCCCCAGCAGCACCAACAGAGCAGGGGGCGTTGAACTTACCAAAAATACATGCATGTTGCATGGCTGCCCTCAGCTGTCTTCATACGATCCACAGCCTTCATCACCACTGGCACCATCCTGCCTCGTGGTGCCCATTTCCCTCTGGCACCACAGCTCACCTGAGGTGAAACAAGATGGCCACCATAGCACCTCACGGAGAGAGGCCATTGCCTCTGCCCGGGCACCTGCCCCAGGGAAGTGGAGCTGTCAAGGACCCCTACCCACCACAGGGCAAGGGTGCCCAGGGCTCAGCTGTCCTCCCTGTCTGCTGTGTCCAGGAGTCTTAGGCACATTGGTTCTTGGGCCTCTGCATCTCTTGAGAGATGGGAATGCTCATCACCTGTGTGGAACATTTTGGTAGGTAAAAAATGAAAAAAACAAAAGAAACAAACTTAATGATTAATATTCCCCTTGGCAATTCTGTAATTTCTCACATCCAAGTCCATTTTTTCCATGTTTTCCTATAAAAAGGGATAGGAATATAGGCAGGTAATTATGTGCTAGTATCTGCCCTACAGATTGTCCCAGTGCAGGTTCACTCTCTGCAGCAAGCAAAAAATGATTTCCATTGATTTTGTTACCATTAATCGTTTCATCTTTTTTTTCCACAGGTCAAAGTACAAAATGTGCTTGTCATATACCAGATGAGACTGTCCTCTCTGTCCCCAATAAGCTTTTCCCTGGATCTGGACAATGCTCCCATGTGACAGTAAGTGGAAAATGCTTGTTTTTGCTCTGTTCTGTCCTGAGATAGCAGCAGGTAAAAAGGTCTAGGGAAAGACTACTAAAACTTTTCCTATGTTTATATTTTATTTTTATAGTGAACAACAATTTACCCACAAATCATAGTATTTTTAAAACTTTTTTGTATTTTTATCTCTACATATAAGTTACCACTAGGAAATATATACAAGTATTTTCCAAGTACTATAGAAAAGGTGCCAGGGACATACAAGTAAGGGGAAAAAAAGCCCAAATACCCCCAAGTTGTGGTGCACACTGTATCCACATTATGGAGAAACTGCATGGAATCAGCTGAGCACCAATAGGCACTCTAACTTCAGGCTCACTATCAGATCATTAAAAACAATAACAAAACACTTCTTTGCAAAACTACCTCACTAATTGTATCCTCCTCTTGCTAGCACAGGACCAGATAATGTGTCTGAAATATCTGATATGAGTTGCCCAACATTCTGTATAATTGAGAACAAGAGTACACTGCTGTAATTATTAATTTTTTGCTGATCCCAAACTGATTAATCCAGAGAACCTTTGGTATACTGTTCACAGTATAGGGAATTACAAGTAAACTGCAGATGCATATTAGTTACCATACAACAACTACCCATGTTTAAGAAGTTGTAGACTGCACAGCAACCATAGCAATTTTACTGTACCTAGTATGCATTTTTAAGCAGCTCACTCTTGAGTGTAATCAAGCAATTATGTATTGCAGTATAATTTAGCATTTTAATATGAAGTTGGTAAGTTAGACATAACAGTGCTCTTTAAAGTGCTGTTATCTGTCTTGAACTTAACTTTTCTTTGCGTAAGAACAAGCACTTCTGAATCTAAGTCAGAAACCTCCTTCCTGACCGCGACAAACTAGCAGATGCACAATGCCACCTTGTGACAGCACTTCAACAACACACCAAACATGCACTACTCCCATGTAGTCATCTCCGAATTGCAGTTCACAGAACTCTAGAAAATAGATTGCTTCCAAAATCCACAGAGCAAGCCTAATGAAAGCAGGCTGACATGTAACACAGTAGTATTCATATCTGAAAATGATAAAGGGATTTGTTGTACTTCCATGAAGGTATGATTCGTGACCATATATTGAAGGAGGTACTATTAGAATATGGGTTTTCTAAGAAAATGTATGCTCTACATGCAAAACTGTTATGCGCAGATCTGGAAAATGTCTGAAGGTAATTTTTCCATCTTCTGATACAATTTTCCCCTTTGAGGAGAAGAGTTAAGAAGTGCTAACACTATTTTGAAGAGATTAACAGTATTTTCGAGCTCTAGTAAGTTCAATTTAAGTGAACTGGAAGATTTTTTTCATAGAAAATATTAATACAAATCTGTAGTAGCAGCAGTTTTTAATTTACCAAAAAATTGGCATCTATTAGCAATAGAAACATACACAAAAATATCTTTGTTTATACAAATAAAATTAGGTTCTGAATATTCACAAAGTAACATAACAGCAATATTTTTCTTCACATTGACATTCAAAGTTAGATAGATCAGTCGTGATATAAAAACACCTTGCAAAATACTCAGTCAAGCACCATGGCAGACAGTGCATTAAGATCTCTCATGAATGGATGTTCAGCTAGTATTTGATCAATCTTCTGTTTTTGCTCATAATCAGGAAATATTTTTATAAGAGCTTCTCTTAGCTGTATTGTTTCTGAGGCAGATCTCTGTGGTGGAATTGTTAGACAAGGCTGTACGTTTGGTTCTAGTGGAAGCCAGGTTGGTGAATGATCTCCATGTATTTGGATTTTAGGCTGTCGATTGCTACTAGTTTGTTTGGGGACTGGCACGAAGAAAGATTTCTCAGAATATTGTCCACGGCTCTGTAAAGCCTTCTGTGATGACAGTAAGTCTCTATGGAACAAAATGAAAATCTTTGATTAAATAAGGAAATGAAGATGTTACTATCGCTGTACAATCGCAGAAAAGAAGAGTAACTCCCACACTTTACTGCTGCTCATCTAATTATTGATTAAATACTCAGTCATTTGATTCCAAAGTGAAATAGCAGGTATAACCATTTTTGATTTGAATTTGAAGTGACTAATAACATTATCTAGGACTATCTAATTAACATTATCTAGGACAAATTCCAATGTGCTTTTAAAATATTGTGACATTTACTTGGCAGAATACAGTAAAAATATTCAAAGGCTTATTTTACAGAATTATCAACTTAAGTACTACAGAGATAAATAGATTAAAAATACACTGAACACATGGACAGTGACTCAGAATATGTAAAAATACAGACAGTCTAGAAGAGGCTTTGCCTGCTGTACAGAATCACTTTTCATCTACTTTTGCTCAGGCATGTTTGACAGCTCTCAGTCATAAATCCAGGATCAAGGCCATAATCTATCGCATTTGATATCCTTAGTAAGGGCAATTCTGCAATGTCAGGATTGCTTAAATATTATGATTTCATTTCAAATAGTTTAAAAACTTGTCACTTGGAACTGCTAGTACTACAAAATAGGACTGCTTCTACTTCTGATGAACATAAATATGAACTGAACCTCATGCAGCAAACTACATAAAATTTACCTTCTCTCCAAAACAAACAAACAACATACAGTTAGGAAGCCAAATTCTTCTGGACTTCTCAAAAGAAAAGTGCTCTCCTTTTCCATACTCATCACCTCCATTTCTCAGGACATGCTCCTTTTTAATGAATTTTTTGACCATAGCTGACCAAAATATAATGTTCCAAAAGATATCTCATAAGAGCTTTATATTAGAACTTGAATATTTCCTTAACTTTTCCTGTTGCAGTTGTAGAACTGCATTTGCTTTTTCCATGCTGACATTATATGGCTATTTCCAATCATCCTAAGATAGCTGGTATATACATCTTTCTTCAGTAATTTCCAACAGATTAGCTTAATGCTTATACTTTCTATTAATCTTTAAATGCATAGGTTTGTCTTTTGTATAACTGATTTTTATTATTTCAACACTTGTTTAAAAAGCTGTCTGTACCCCTCATTACCATTAACATTTAACTCCCAAGCTAGTGAAAGCAGTGCAAAGAGCTTATTTCATGCAAAAGAATAAATCTATTCTCAAGTTTTGGCAGGTAATGCACAGTAAGTTCTTACTTTGAATATATACGTTTAAAAATAGAATGGTCTCAGGAATAAAATCTATATATCTATAAATTTTTAAGATTAGAAAGATACAAATATATCTAATAATAAAATGAATTTTAAGAGGTATTACTAATAACACAGTGCAGTACCCTCAAGATACATTGTAGAGTGAAACACCTCTCCTGTGACTCAGGATATGAACTTAGAATCCTTCTTTTGTAGTGCACCTCTTGAGCCACTCTGGATAATAAATGATTAACCAGGATACTTAGCATCATTCTGATCTGCAGGATCCCAGACTACCACATATCCAACTCCTGATAGGTTTGTGCAATATTAACACACTGTTTAGACCACCTTTGTGAGAAAGCCACCACAATCAAATCTCATAGAACATCACTGAGGCATTTATCTTACTTTTCTTAGATTTGATAGAGATCTTGATTAGATGCAAGCGTCACAAGCAGTTTCTTGACAGACTGATGCAACAGGAAAAAACATTTATGTTAAGCTACAACATCCTAGTAAAGCACATTCTTGCCTAATACCTTTACTGTGTAGCTCTAAAGGAAGTGCTTTTCAGCAAAACATGAAAACAGTTCATTTCACATCTAAAATAATTGTTCTCTAAAAGAAAAAGTGAAAATGGTGCTTATACCTAGAAGAGCCTTCACTGCGAAGGAAGTCATCTAATCTAGGTCCATTTCTTCCCAAAGGATCATCAGGAACCATAAATATGTCCCCAGCAAAAGTATACTGTAGCAACCTGTAAGAGAGTTTTTTTTTTTTTCTCCAATATTCCTATTATTTCTCACCATTCACCTCCTCAGCATAAATTACCTAGAGCAGAAGCTTCATACAGACTTCAGTGACTGCTAGTACTAATTAGTGAACTCCCATTTTAGTTGCAAACATTTGCTGCCAAAACAATGTAATGGGTGATTATGCGAACTGTTGCCATTACACCACAGAACACCTAGTTTTGACAGAAAATGTAGGGGTGACGGCATTATTATTATTTTTGAGACCAGGGTGAAATTTTCTAGATGATTAGAGAATATCTCCTGGTAGCTTAAACTCTCCTTCCTTGCCAGGACATTCAAATAGCTAGCTAAAATGCATGCATTACCAGAAATCAAGATGACTAGTGGGCATGGACATGATGTTTATTGATGAGACACAGGAGTGTTTTTCTTGGAATCATTTTGGGACAGTGGAAAACGTGCACCTAAAAAAAATGTTTAAGCAAAATTTTCTGTGAGGAGAGGATTTGGTACAGTGGAATTTCCCCACAAGTAAAACTGATAATACATGTTAACATGAGGTCTTGAAAACCACAGACTCTGAATGACGCACTAAGTAGAAGCACAGAAACCAGCTTGGGTAAAACTCACTCAGAAAATAAGGTAAATACCTATGTAGGAAAACAACGTAAGTTCCATGTTATTCAACTACATTGAGAACTCAAGAGAGTTTTCAACTATTTCAAATAAAACTATACAGTCCATAATCACTGCAATGCAGATAGACCCTCAGATGAAACCTAGGGGACTCGGGGATTAGTAGAAAAAATCAGACCAAGGAGATGAACAGTAGGTGAAATTCACAGTGAGAAGGTCTGGTTTAACTGGAAAAAAAAGAGAAACAGTCTGCACATGAGAAACCATCCTGGAAACTCTGGGTAACAGAATCCAGGTGTCGATTCTGGAATATTAAGTCAACTCATCTACACCTAAAAAGACACTGAAAAATTGCACGGTAGGCTTGCAATTGCAAGCTGCAGGCACGTGTTATACATGTTCATTGTTTTATTTAGCTATGTCTATTTGTTGTGCTACAGGAAAGAGTGATTCAGAAACGTTAGCAGTGGACCTGGATGTCTCCTAACTATATCTCCTTGAAGAGGTATGTAAACCAATAAAGTCTGCCAAAATGGACACAGTACCTACAGATATTATCCTATTCAAGGCATAATTATAAGGCTATGAATTAAGGTGATGGAACTCAAAGTCTTTTTTTGCCTCTATGAGAGTCCCATGACAGACTGCCTTTATGTATTTTTTCGCCCACCTCCCCAATTATAGTGCCTATAACTGTACAGACAGGCATCCTATAAACTTTCTTAGAAACCAAGCAGTTACCTTTTCTGAATAATTCCTCTCCAGGCAAGCGATTCTGTCACAAATTCTCTGAAGTTATCATTAGTCACAATAACACCTCCTGTTCTATCAGCAAGATGTAATAAAAATCTGTAACATTCATTTCAAAGACAGTTAAAATAGCCTGCCTTGCTCAAAATTGTCCAAAGATCTAAAAAACAGAAAATCTCCAGCATTTAACGTATTTACATGAAAATTTGAAAACAAGTATTTTCATTATCAAAGAATGATTTGATTTATACCTACCATATAAAACTAAACAGTAATATTTTAGATAACATTAGTTTTAGTGCAGCAGAGTCATTATGAAAGGTTAAAAAGATGAAAGAAGCAGAAGTATTTGTCAAGTATCTACAGAACAATACAGTATTTCAGACATTTAAATCAAGTTTATTTCCACAAGCTTCTTTAGCTTAATATTAACCTACTCTTCTACAAGAATATTGCACATGTTACTTGCTTGGTATATCAACACTTGTCAACATGAGTAATGCTACTATCTTTGGTTAAAAAATTAAGACAAATGGTAAGTATCGATTTATTAAAAACACCGTTTCTGTCTTAAGGTAAGTTGAAGCACTGCATGGAGGTTACTTCAGTAGAGACTGAAGGTGTGTGTGTGGGTGTGTGTGTGTATATATATATATTTTTTTAAGGAGGCATATACACTCCTGATCCTAAGTGCAAGTGGGTTAATGCAACACTGATTTCCAAGGTAATCTCAACTGTACCAACTGCACCCCTGAGGCATGTTTTATGAAAGCTGTTTGTATAGAGAATATTACAGCCATAGAGGTAGCGTGGAATAAAACTCCTACTTTGTTGCCTTCTGTATACTTTTTTGTGCTGTATTATTGCATATTAACAGATCTGAGGCATTGTATTTTAACAGGAAAGATATTCAAAGTGTAATGCACTTCATCTTTTGCACATCAAGCTTTGTGAACAAGTACACAACTGTGCAAACTAACAAGAACAGGTGTACCCACGATGCGAGGGCTTTATTTTATAATTAAAAAAACTAGGAATGGTTATTAGAAGGCAGAAACTGAAATCCAGTGAACTGCTGCTAGCTGCCAAATGCACTTCCAAAGCTGCAAACTGTTCATCCATGCAAAGCTAGGAAAACTGCCTGTGGAAGGAACTTGCTAACATGCTCTGCATCTTTAGACTAGGAGAATTACGTAATAGTTGTGTAGTCACTAGGAGACTTTCCTCTCTCTCAAACCTAAAGCTTACGTCTACCTTGTTTGCCGAAAGATGATCTCTAAGTTCTGAAGTTGAGCTCTGTTGCTCAAAATAGCTTGGAAATTTCGTACTCTAAACATTACAAATAGATCCAAATACCTGTCCAGGTGCCATAACAATATTAAAAAACAGGACAAAATAGTAACTATCAGTAGCTGATTTATACTAACATTCAAGAGAGAACATTCAGAGATTAAAACTATGATCAGGAAAGCATAAAACATGAGAAAGAAATGAATTTTCTAATAAAGACACATGATAAAACTTAACTAAATTTTGTTAAAATTGCTACAAAAAGCTTGCTATTTTCCATAAATTTCTGAAAACTTTATGTACAAATTGTTACAAAATTACATATTTTACTACCATAAGAAACAGATTTCTAGATGGAGCAGATGTAAAGCTCTGACATAGTTGAATGCATAGTTCTTAAGAACTGGATAACACTATTATATATGCAACCATTAGTCATATATTTATAAAGACTGTAGTGCTACATTTGTTCCATACCTGTCATCATGGGCAGCAATTCTTGCTCCCAAAACCATCCTTGCAGGGGTTAATGACAGTATCCCAACATCCTGCAGCTGTGTTAAAAAATGCTGCTCTGTTAAAAAAGAAACAACTGTTATATAAACAAACTGTTTATAAACTGTTTATAAACAAAAACTTTCTAAAGTATTTAGAAATTTGACTATTAGTCTGAGATACAATTAGCAGAAAAGGTGCACTATTTCTCTCTTTATCTATAGGAATGTCCTTAGACATGCCTCTGTATTCTATGAGGATGCTTGGAGATCTACTAATACTATAAAAATGGAAGAAGTAGAAATCAGAAATCAAATTCCTATAGTAAAAATAAATGGTCTCCACCTATGGCATGTCAACCAGCTTGTAAGGCATTCTGGAGAGTCTCCCAAGCTGCATGTTGAATGAAGAGATGCACACTGAGCAGCCAGAACTCTCATGCTTTAGTTTTATCAAGTATTTGTTCTATATTCTATTCCCAGAAGTATCCAATTAGTTATAACCTGGTTCATTAAAGCAAATTATGATAGCAATAAAAAGAAAATTGTCTCACCTGTGATGGAGGGATCACGTCTTGTTCTCCACTGTGGAACAAACACTGTAATGTTTCTGTGGCCACGTTTCCAAAAGTATTCAACAGCTATTGCAATTCCTCGACAGGAGAAGAATTTCCTTAGACCATGACTGGAGGCAGCAGGGGAAGAATAGAAGTGTCACTTATCTCAAAAGCCTTACCAAAGTGAAACGGTGTATATAGCCTAGTCCACTTCGAGTTTTGTGGTTAGAACTACGTTTCAGCCACCAGAAGAACTGTTTTCCTTGAAAAGAGGCTGATAATGAATTGTTTTTAGACATCTATTGACTATAGATTAGAATTACGAGCATCAAGTTATGATAGTTCCAAATATAGCCCTACTATGCGACACAACTTTTAACCTATGGAAATCAATTTATAAGAATGATTACCACCTCCTTCTGTCACTGATCACTTGAAAAAGTTGAAAGGTAGAAAAAGTTAAATGTCTTCCTACATTCCTTCCTATACTCTTATAAAGGTATTAAGTTTTCCTGATTTACTTTTGACTATTTCATGATGTTACAGAAACTTTCTGTACATGTGATTCCGTGAATTCTATTAGATCTTTGCTCTTCAAATTGCATTCAAGTTAATAGTCTTTGATAAAAGTTTATTTTGTTCTAACAGTGAAAAACAATGTTCTAGGAAGAATGTATGCAAACACAAATGAAGCCTCCCAATAAGACACACAATGCCAAAGACATTTTTAATGTTAAAGTAATTTAGAACACAATTTAGAACACTTTCAGAAATAATCCTGTGCACTGTATGTCTAGAAATGTCAAGGTGTCCATTTGAATCTGTGGAAGGTATCTGAAAATACCAAGATATCAAAAAAGAAATCATCAGCTTATGATTATATTTAGAGGGAAGTTGACATTTATTCCACAGGTTCATGAAATGAGTATTAACAGTTCTATTACTTCTACTTTGTGAAAGTTTCTTTAATGTACTTCTGAATTCTATCTGAGAAGACGTTAGGCAGAAAAAAATATGTATTAAATATATAAAATAGCAAGTTCCCATAGTATATTTACTTTTGTTCAGTTTTACATTGACCAGTGCAGCAGCAGGGCAGCCAACTTGTTCTTTAAAAGCTATTACTTCCTTATTAAGGAAAAGAATGTCATTACTTACACTTTCATATTCCAAAACTACAAAAAAGTCCCAAAGCAAGCAGTGACAAAACTTTAGACATGTTTGCTTGCCCAAATTACATAGTATGAAGAAAAACTGAAGCAATTTCTTGGCTAGCAAAGAGACATTAATTCAAGAAGGTTTTTACAAGACTAACATCAGGATGACTCCAGGCAAGCAAAAGCAAATAATATTTGATAGATACACTGAGTTTCCAATACTGCAAGTATTTTTTGGAAGGGGTGATATATTTTAACTGCATGTCTACATTTGATAAAAACAAAAGACAAAACTCCTCATCCACCCATAAAACACAGGGCCTGAGCATTATCCTAGCAGAAATGTCATGTATACAGCATCTGCAAAAGTAATTTTTATATTTCCTTAGTTTGCATTTATGCATGGTATCTTAGCAAAGAACTCTAACTTATACAAGCTAGGGAACAAAACCTATATCAAAATTCTTGTATGTTAGAAATTAAAATGTATATTACGAATTTTATGCCATTTCCAGTTATCGAAGCTTAACTATATCTCACAAATGCAGTCATTACCAGTATGTGAAAAACCTTGCTGAGAATATCAACTGTTGTTCACCAGAAAGCTAGTTAGCAAAAAGTTAGTGTTATAGACATGATGGGAATCTTCTCTTGCCAATCTAACGTGAAAGTTTACTGAAATTTTATAAAGAGAAATAGTTGAAAAAAGTGATACTTACGAAATTGCAACATTGCTTCCATCAATGATGATATGTTTTAAATACGGTTTCCCAGGATCATTTTTCAACTCCAGTCGATATGGTTTTTTCAGAGAATCCATAAATCTTTGAACCCCAGTAACTGAAGGATCAACGTGACATCTGTATGGTCCCACTATCTCATTATCAGTATGTGAAGCTTTTATTTGTGAAGACAATACAGGATCTGGAGGAGTATTTTCAAATTTTGAAGTCTGGGAAGGGCGCTGTTCAAGAGGTCTCACCTGAGAAGAGCTGCATTGTCCTAACTGGTCATCAAGAACAGGATGACTGTTCTGTACAGTCGTAGGCTCCGCAAATTTCTGCTGAATTGCAGTTTTAGTCTTAGCTGGCATATGTTGCACATCTGAGCTCCCTCTGGCTACAAAATCAACATCCTTTGGAACACCAGCCAGAATAGTCCTGCAAGTCACAGCACCATCAGCTTCTATATCACTTAATTCTGAACTGCGATTCTTACCAGGGGAATAAGTATCTCTTAGTTCACAACATGTATCTGACTTTTTACTGGAAGGGGAGGTAGGTTTGCATGTAAGCATATGCCTTTTACCTTCTGCATCAGCTTGTACATTTGGTAGCGCTCTTGTTTCGTGGTGTTCATTTTTTACCTCCTTTGAAGCATGAACAGATTTAAGCAGATTTTTATTGCTAGAAATTTCTTTGTCTTCTTGAGTTTGTGAATGATTTCTATTACCTCCTAGTGGAGGATTTAAAGCTGCAAGTTTTTGAGATGACTGTTCGTGTTCTTTCTGAAATTTCAGATTTTCCTTTTCAATTTCTTCTAACAGTGTTAATGGTTCCACAGATTGTCCTAGAATACCAATAACTTTTTCTACAATATTCTGTGAATAGCCCATTGTTCTGAAAAAGTTTACAAGAATCTTGTATTCCATTTCCTCACTGATATCACTGCCTTCTTTATTAGCGAAACTGTGATTATCTGATTCACTGCAGCTATCTGAAAGTAGATCCACAACTGTATCCTTGTTGGAAGGATCACAATGTGAGGAAGATTTAACTTGTTGATCATTTTCTAAAGAGAACTGCTTTTTAGGAAGTCTTTCCTCAGCATCAGAAGATCGTCTTTTACAGGACTGTCTTTCTTTAGAAACCACAGCCTCTAATGGAGGCACAACATTTATGGGAACAAAACTTGTTTCATAAGTATCAGAAAACACAGAGTCCATTTTCCTTGTAAGCTCAGTTACAGGTGTTCCCGCATTGTTTCTTGCTTCCTCACCACCTGCTCTTCCATCTCTGTTTGTAACAATTACTTTGGAGGCTTTATTCTGTAAAAACTCTGTTGGGCTTTCAGAACCTGTAAGATCAATGATATCACTCTCCTCATAACATTCACTTTGTGTGAGAGTTAGAAGTTCTCTTTTTAGCGAGCTAGGCAAGATCAGTAAGTCCATCGTATATTTATCTGCATGTGCTTCCACAAATTGTCTGAATTGCTTTTTAACTTCTGGTTCTTTGTCACTTATGAAGCTTTCATTCTTTTCAAAAAGTTTCACAAATTGCTGAATATGACTTTGAGCCATGACAACAGCTTCAGCACCTCCCTTAATACTGAGTAATCCTGTTTCCAGCACTGCTATGTCAGCACAGGTATCCTGAATTAGACAGTTGAGAAACAGGCTCTGTGCACCAACAAAAATGCAGTGCATGTCCTTTGGGTAGTACTCCTTTTCTTCTAGTTCAGGTTCACAGAGTCCCTTAATATACTCCTAAAAGAAGAGAAAGACAAGAAATAAAATACCTCCATATATAAAAAGCTAATACATACATATAAAACCTGTTTGTTTATATATATGTACACACACGTGTATATATAGTTTTGCTTAGGTCAGCAATGGACAAGTATATTAGCAAATAAATCCAGCTTAGCAAAACAAATATCAGAAAATAAACACTGCCAGTACACTGGATAATTTCAAATAGATATATTCATCTGTTATGTTTGAATAGATTTCATAGAAGACTTTCTTTAGCATACTATTGTTCATAAATAATTTACTCAAATATTTTTGGATAGCTTTTAACAGTAGACACAGTTGGTAAAAAGTTAGAAGAAAAAACCTTTCCAACAACTCCACTACTATCTCATGATTATCGTTTTCTAAGCTGTATCCCATACCCCAATGGGAAAAGTAACATTGCTACTTTATTTGCTACTATTGCTACTAATTACCCAACATTAAGGTTGTAATTGGAGCTTCTGTGAAAAATGCATTTTACTTTTGGAAATTATCACAAGAGCTACACAAAGGAGGGACTCCATCTTCCATTAAAGACTATAAATTTATTTTACTAGGAAAAAAAAAAGTGCTTTGTTTTCACCAAGTCCTTCTGTATGCTTTGGTATAACTTGTGCCTTTTCTCCCTCTTTTTTCATATAAATATTTCAAAGGAGAATTTATAACAACCCCAGAAAGCAAAGTTGACTACTAAATCTCAAAAAAGTTCGTAAGGAATACTTTCACTTTTTCACTTTTTGTGAATAGCATCTTTGTGATATTTCCCCAAAAAATGATGTTAAAATGTTTAACTTCTTTATTTGCTAAGAGTTCGCTTCTCTTTGTATTTGCTTACTGCTTTTCTCCCCTAAAAAGGGGCTAGGTGTTGTGAGAAGACTTAAGGTAGGAGGAACTTTCGGTCTGCAGCTGAATTCTGATGAAAATACAGTACAAGTTTACAATGCTGCTTTGGCTCCTTCAGCTATATGCACTCTTCTTAGGATACCTACATGTTTTACCAGGAAGTACTGGTATCTAGCTCTCAATAGCTAACATTGGACAGGAGCCAGTAAGATCCTGCTCAGATTAAGGAAATACACATATGTACATACTATTTTAATGACAAATCCCTACTGTTCTGTCACAATGCAGTCACTGCCTCCTGCAGCACCACTACAAATTAGCTAATATTGTTGTAATTATTAGGTTACATAATTGAGTTCAGGGCAGAAGGCGGCAATTATTAGAAGTAGGCAGAAAAAAACAGTAAGGACTCAACAGTGTCTCGGAAGCAGATATAGAAATTGGTATCTTTTTGCTGAGAGACAAAGTCAACAGAGGAGTCAAGAGAAACACTGTTGTTAGCATGCAAATGCTAACATAATAATAAAACAACATAATAGTCTTGCTATTAAGTTACTATGTTGTGCAGTTATTCCATATGATAAGAAACTGCATTGTTTTAAGTGAAACATACAATATATGCAGTGGGAAAACTCTACTAAAACAACTCAACTTTGACTGGTTAAACTTTTATAACTCTGCTAGATATAAAAGAGAAGAGCATGGTTTCTTTAAAAATGTTTTCCTAAAAATATTCTGTATGCTTTTAGGAAAACAAGTGAATAAAAAATTCAGATTTGCCATTTTTCAGATTTTAACTTGGGGGGTGGGGGGGAGATAAAAAATATTGTATTGCAGTTGTCTGCACAGAAAGCATATCCTTTTATGATACCTGTAACAACTTCTAGAGTTTCCAAGCCCACAAGCAAATTGGTTTACTGTAAATTTCAGAGTCAGTTAAATTCAATAACCTTAAGGTTTGTAGCATTTCTCACAGGGAAGTCTCATGCATTGACCAAGTAAGGAATCAAGCTTTTGAAAATTGAGGGCCAAGTTCAAGAGGGAATTAAGTCCCCCAAACAACTTGTTAGGTCAGAAAATGGATATTAGGGATCACTTTTTGAGCATCACCTTCTGAACAGATAGTGCTCCAAATGCCATTTTTGTCACAGGATTTAGACACGTATGGTTCCACTGTAAGTCCACTAGGAGTAACATTAATTACATTATTACAGCTGAGCTCCTGACAAGTATTAGCTGTATAAAAGATGTAATAAAATAGTTATGTGAATTACTTCACAGCAACCAGTGTAACAACAACACAAGAAAATACTAGAGACTATGGTGCCTTTTTTTTCCTTTCAGTTCAGGGTATTTTTTTCTTTCCAACAGTACATGCAGTCGATCTGCTGCAGCAAGCAGCCTAGTCAAACACTCCGAATCTACCAACTTCTGTGCTTAAACTGCGAGCAAGGATCCCGTCACCAGGCTCCGGAAGGCCACGGGAGAGCCACGGTTAGTGCCTGTCGACAAGGCAGGGGCTTGGAAGGGTCGGGGGTGCGTTACAGGGCCGGGCCGGGCCCCGCGGGCATTAACGGCCCCTGCTCGGGCGGGGCCCTTCGGTGACCGCCACGGCCGTCGCGAACTTTGCACTTGGCGTCATTCCCTCCCCTTTCTACCCTCACGCCAACAGCCCCGAGGCTCCCCGGCACACACCTATTTGCCCAGGCGGGACAGTTTCTGTTTTCTCCCGAAACAGCAGTATTTTCCACGCCTTCTCCTTCCTCCAGCCGCACCGCAGGGCGCTTCCCCGCGGGGCGGCACCGCTCGCTACCCCCCATGTCCCCCCCCAGCCCCGGGCCTACCTTGGCGCTCCGCACGGCCTTGCGGCCGCCCGCCAGCTGCACCCAGATCCTGGCGGCGGGCGGCGACGGGCCCGGGGGCGGCGGACCAGCGGGCCCCCAGTCCGCCTGCGCCCCCAGCACGGCCAGCTGCACCTCGAACAAGCCCTCGATGCGGCCCCGGCATCCCTCCAGGAAGCGGCTCTTCTCCGCCGGCACGGTGAACTCGTCCAGCCCCGGCCCGGGGCCGCGGGCCGCCCTGCGAGCCGCCATCAGCGCCGCGCGCGCCGCCCCGCGCTCCGGGCTCCCATCGCGCCGGGCCGCAGGACAACAACACGGGGAATCCCCGGCCTCCCGCGGCGCGGCGCGGCTCCGCTCGGCCCGCCCCGCCCACACACGTCACCAGCGCGCGACGGCCACCGCCCCGGCACCGCCTTCCGGGGGCAGGAACGGCCGCCCGCCGCGGCTCCATCTTTAGTAAGGGCGGCCGAGGGGCAGGGCGTATAAAAGAGAGCTCCGCCCTTCGCCCTGCTCGCTGCAGCCTGGAGCTGCTGTGCTCAGAGGCGGTGGCTGGAGCCGCCCTCTGGCCTCGTCGTATTGGATGCCGTTAAAAAAAGGGGGAAAAAAAAAGGGGAAAAAAAAAAAAAAGGGTAAGCTTTATTCCTCAGTGGTTGGTTTAACCCGAGTGGTTGTTGGATAAGAAAGAAATGCACCCCCTTCAGCTCCAATAGCTCATAAAACTGCTCGTAAGGCTGCACATTTGAAAGGTGGGGAGTAAACTTAATTCTTGAAAGGGAATTCTAGGGCTTTAGTAGACTTTTGAAAACCTACAGCTAGTAGTTTGGAGTAATTGTGCAAAAGACTCAATGTTTAAAACTATTTTGTCTCTTCCTATCCCTCACCCTGCTGAATATCCACACACTATAGGCTCGTTTTGTCCTGCCTTTAAAATCTGTATGAAATTAGATTTTAATAGTTCAGTATTAAGTATTGCCTCATAAGCACAGATGAATGTCTCATGATAGTGTATCTAAATGTATGCATTCTGTTGTTTAGTCAGACATTGCTCTGAGAAAAAGTTTACATACAAGTGATAATATCTCATTTTCATGAGGTCTTCTGTGTGTATAATTATAAACTTTGGAAGCAAGTGAGTTTGCAGTTCTTAGTGCAAAAAGTGCCAAAATTGCACTAACTGCTTATATTCAGTTATTCAATTATCTGCCTTTTGTTTCTGATTACATGATAATAAGGCAAATGATTTATGTCTGTGGTATGGTAAAATAGAAATCTGTGTGTACATTGCCTCTGCACATATATCCATACATTCAAAACAGATCAGATATGGTTTTGATTATTGGTATTGTAATTTGAGAAAGATAATCTCTTTTTCTAAAATAAAATACTTCTAAAAAGAAATCCCCTTACATGTTGTTTGGACACTGTATTTTGCTTTGCCCTCTATTTTCTGTAACACATTTGGAATGTAAACTAGCCTTTACCCAGGCCATTTCTTGAGGTTTTTGGTGCCATCAGCTGTTAACATGGAGCCACTGCAGCCATTGATGCGTTGTATTCATTATTCGTAAATGAAACTGTAAGCAGGAAAAAGCATTACTAAATAGGGTATCATTAAAAATCTCAGAAAGTGCTTTTATTTCTACTTATCAAGTCAATATTGTCTGCTGAAATACTGCTTTTTAAATGAAACAGGAATGCTTGGTTCTCTACACTGCTTGATACTTAGCACCACTATTTCCTTGTATGTTTTAGCTGGTCTTGAGACTGAATTAATTGTAACTTGTATTCTTTATATTTCTGTGTAATTCCATGTGTATTCTTTATGCATGATGTGTAACCTGTGTTCAGAGGTTATCTTTGTTGTGAACTTGTGTGGTTCTGTAACACTGGTCTAGCCTACTAAGATTAGGCAGTACATCACATTAAAATTTTCAAGACAAAGAGAAGCTTGTGTATGTAGGAAAGAGTAGTGTTATAGAAAGTATATACTGATGCTTACAAATATAGGCCAATTATTAAAAGAAGTTAAGGCTTTTCCTCTGCATGGTTACGATCAGGGCTGGAAAAATATGTAGCAGCTTTTTTTGTGTGCCTGTTTAAAACTGCAGCCCAAACTTCTTCCCCATGCTTTTATGAAGATGAAAGTCAAATAAGACTCTTGTTACAAGCACGCATTAAAACTAAATTTGAAACAGGTTGAGGACATCAGAAACTCTTATGCTTTTATCAGCAGGTTACTTATGAAAAGTATTTGTCAAGGAAGAAAGGCTGTTCAACTCTAGAGACCATTCACAGCAGGTTCTTTTTTGAGTGATGGGCCCTATTTAGTCAGAAAAGAAATTTCAGTGTCTGACTCCTTCACTGTTGCTTCTAGGCTTACTGGGAAAGGGAAGGTCCAATGCTTATTCAACAGCAGTGGAGGGAATTGGTACCTACTCTTGTATTTGTTTGAAACACCAGTGGAACATTTTGCAGATTGTCCTGCATGTGAATTGTTGCTGAATTGATATTATTTGTATTAGTGTTAGAGAAATATATAACACATAAATAGTTTCTGTTTCAGGTTTAAAAATAGTTTGATTCAACTGTCTTGTACAACTTCTTGCTTTTTAGAAAAGTCCCACATTTGAAAATTGGTTGTATAAATGATTTTATGAAACTGGACTTTCTTGAAGTGTTTGTACTTGAGGTGCCTACTTAAAATAGGAACTGTGCTGACTGAACCCATATGGTTACTGCGTCTTAAAGTAGTCATTCAGATCCCTGTTGGTAAAGTGGTATATGAAGGTGATACTCGTGCGCTTTACAGAGGTTTTACTCGTTATAAATGCTATGGTTGTCACTGAGATTTAAATTTATGTTCAGTTGCTTGCAGGATAGGGCTCTGATTACTAACATACAGCATCTTGCATGAATTTGAATAACAAAAACTTAAATTTACAACTGTAACATATATTGTGCTTTTTTTAAAAAACAAAACTAGCCTCAAACTCATTCTAAATATATCTCTGAAACAAAAAGGTTGAAAGCTCTTGGATCTTTGATATCTGTAGTTTTCTAAAACTTTAACCATCTCTGTTTGTATCAAGCTCCCATGGAGAAATTTTGGTGTATGCTTCAATTATCATCTTCCTTCTTGCAGAAGAATAAAAAGCAAAGATACAAGTGGTTTATCATGAAATAACTTCACAATACCTTGTAAAGACAAGCCTCTATACTTTGTTCAAGCCTCTAGTTTTGCAAAGAGACCAACCTTCATATTTGCTGACAATCTGGGTCACTCTTGTGATCGGGAGGGTTTCCTTTTTTAGAGCTTATTGTGGTATTGCCATTTTAATGAATTTGTTCTAAGCCTTGCATGTATTTTAGTATCAAGAGACCAACTTTTTAAAAATAATCCAATGGATAATTTCTGTAATCAGGTCTTTCTATTAATAAAAAATGACTCTGTTCTTTAGGTGGAAAGCAATTACATTTCTTTATTCTAAATTGCTATCAAACCAATCTGTTGCAAAAAAATCAAATCCTTGTAAAAGAAAGAAAACAATATTGCATTTGTAGATATATCAATTGCTGAAAGTGGGTAGCATTGTGGGTTGTTTTTCTTTCTCATTAGTGGAATCTGCATCTGCTTTTGAGGCATTTTGAATATGCTGGTGTTTCTTGATTACTTACAATAAACTGCAGCTGTACTGGCAAAAAATGTTAGTTAGCCTGTGAAATGTTCCAGAAGACATGTTTGCATTTTTTAAATGTAAATAGATACATTATTATGCATCACTTTAAAGGTTCCACACAGTGTACTTTGCTATGTTTATAAATAAATATTATAGCTTCACTTGAATGACTGACAAAGCAAATGATAATGTAAGAGTATAGTTTTTATCATGAGAGGGTATTGAATACTGTTGAATTGTTTGAAGAAGTGACAAGTGGTATTTGAAGGGGTGTCACCATTTTGCAGATACCTTTTAGCAGTAGATATCTCATTTTCAGCTGAACTGGTGCAAACAAGCAAACATACTTTATTGTGGTCTTAAAAGTTAGTTGAAAAGTTGTAAAATGTTTTGCAGTTTCAGAAACTATGCTGATGAAAGCTGTAATCTTGCTGATCTTGTAACTAGGAGTTTTTAAAGCACTTTAGAGTAGTTTAATATAGCAGTTAATCAAAATCTAGACTTTAAATCCCAGTTACTATTATTTTCTTACCACTTTTGAAGTCTAAGGGTTTATTTTTAGGCTTTCATAAATTAAAATTCTGTTTCTAGTCTGACTACAGGCATGTAAATACCTTTTGTAAAACACAAGTTACAGTTACTGAAGTAGGTTCTGGCATGTACTTCAGCTGATAAGTTGCCAGCTACTGGTATGACCTTACAGTTCACTTCTGCTGTTCTGGGAAGTTTACTTCTGTGTAAAGGAGTTGGTGGAAAACAGCACCAATAAATGCAAAGTATAAAGGGTGTAAAAAACTTGAAATATATGCTTATGATGGCTCTTAAGGGCTTTAAAGATCCCTGACATGTAGTAATCTCATCTACAGCTGATTTGCCTTATGTTTTGCTGTTTATATGTGTGCAAGCTAAGATGAGGATAGGTGTAAAAACTGCCAACTGAATAAGTTTAAAGATAACTTTACACAAAATGTAACTGCTTGTAAGATTAAGACTTACAAAAAGTTAGTATTATTTTTATATATGTTTCTATTGACTTGAATTAGGCGGCTTATTTGGTAAACATTTTTCATCCCTTTGGGTAAAGAATTGTGAAATGGTGTAATATTTTGGGGACGTGTAACTGGAATGGACAATCATGTATATTACCAAGAAAATGACAGAATTGTACAAGTCCTAATTAAAATAAATGCCAAAGACTAAGTAGTGACAAAATAGAAAATGAATGGAATGATTTGTCATCTAAGGATTTTAGCTAATAAACTTACAGTGCAAGTATAAAAAGAAATGCCTATTTGATACAATGTATCAGTGGATACTGGTTGATTATTTTAACTTGCTGGTTATTTTAATGAGTGTAGTTTTCCAGAATTTGGTTGCAGTTTTTAATTTGATTGTTATGTCTGAAAAAGACTGGTAATGTTTGGCTTACATTTTATTGTACAGAACATGATTTTTTCATCTAAAGAATAGTATGTATTTTTGAGAATATACTGTGTTATTTTCAACTTTTCAACAATCAATGAATTACAATTTCAACTTGTACAATGATGTACATCATACAAGACAGATTTTTACTATATTTCATTCTGA